GGGCTTACACCTGGGAAAACCTTGGGCTTCACTGGCCATACTGAACAGGAAGACTAAGTAGATCAGATGAACAAAACAATGTTGCAATGCCTACGAACAGGACTAGGATTTGAGCTGTGATTTGATATTGCATTCACAAGTTTAAGAGAAAGTGAATTCATTTAGGTATTTTGGCATAGTTTTATTCATTTAAATGAACAGGGGGATTTTTTGAGTAGGTTTTTGTTTGGTTTTTTGGGTGGGGTTTTTTTGGGTTTTTTTTTTTGTTGTTGTTGTTGTTTTTTGGGGTTTTTTTTGCTTGTTTTGATTTTTTTGGTTGGTTTTGTTTTGTTTTTTCCATTTGCTTCACATATGGTTTCAGTGTCCCTGGGGGTGTATCAGTGAGATTTTGCTGTCAGTGACTGCTTCTCCGTCTTTTAGCTAAAAATACATGTGATCTCTGCAGAGGAGAAATACAGTCATGTCCACTGTCACATGATCTGATCTGCCAAATATGTTTCTGCTGCAGCCTGCCTTTCTCCCCCAGGAGCTTTTAGCACACGGTCACCGACAGAATCTGGGACAGAGCTCAGCACCACAGTCCTGTAGGATTGCTTTGTGCTGTAGTTTATGCCCTGTCACAGGTTTAAGAATTTCTGTCAGAAACAGAATTGTCTTCCTCTTTGGTCTGAAACGTGCCTTTTCACTTTGTCCTGGTTCCTTCACCAAACTCTTGACTGAACACTCAGACTTTGATGTAGCACTGAGGGCACACTGATCCATGCTGCAAAGCTGCTATCTTCCATATTTTGCTTCTTGTTTTTGTCATTCCACTTCTCCTGTTTTTCCCTATTACCCTTTCCTTGGCAGTCTTAGCCCCTTTTTCAACCTGAACCAGTGAAAGTAAGTCAGTAATGCAGAGATCTCTAATTTGGATTAAAGCTCTTAATTTTGATTCTGAGCACTAGAATACCAGGTTTTTGGTTGGATATTTTGGAACCCAAGTGTTTGGAAATATTTGTCTGGATAGAGTTATAACACTTCGTCTTTTTTTCTTAATATTAAGAAAAACCCGCAAAAGTAACTTTAATGCATGTAAAAATAGAAGATGAATCTTAGTTTCTTAAACTAAGCATCCCCTAGCCTAGTGATCTTCCGCAGACAAACACTAACAATGATTTCCCAGTGAAAAACATAAGGTTTTGGATAGATATATTCTTTCTTTCCAGCTATTCTCCAGCTTTCTAGAGACAGTAAATTATGGTGAAATCAGAAAGTACCTTGGACTTAACTAGCACAAGAGATCTGATAGCCAGGATGCCTTGGCAGGAACAAACAGAGCTTTGAAGATTGCAGGAAGACTGAATCAATGTTGAAATACACGTGTATGTCTATATGTTTGTATGATGTTTAACCCAATCATTGCAGTAAAATATTACTAGCTCTCCTAGGATGGTACATAAGCTTATGTAGCCCACAGTAAAATTGGATTCTGATCACCCAGTCAATTGTCCCTGTCTCTCTTCATCACCAATAATTGGTGCTCACCGTGTGAGGAAAAGGACCGGCCTAGATGGCTACAGTCAGCGTGCCCCCAGAACTGATCACGGTGGTGAGAGAACTGCCTATGGACCCACAATCACCTCATCAGCTACGACACTACAGGTGAGCCAGGGGAACAAAACTATGGGACAGAATGTGTCCGAAGAGAGAGATGTAAACGAAACCATGCTCGTTCTTCTGTACAAACATGGGTCCCCTGTGGGTACGGAGGAGCCCACCGAGCCGGAGAACCTGGCTCTCTCCTGGAGGCAAGACACCTTTTACTCAGAGAGAGACAATGTATCGCTCCCAGGGGTCTTTGAGTTAGATATGTTAAATTGTTGTGCTTCATTGCTGTTCTCCCCTGCTGTCCCACCCCGATACATGTATCTCGGGCTTCCCCCCCCGCCCCTCTCCTTCCCCATAAATACCCCGGGTTTTCCCCTGTTTGGCAGATTCGCTGTTGCCGGCACCCTTCGCCAAAGCTCTGCCTGAATAAAGGTTTGTGCCTTGGTGGAACGCTGGACCAGCTTTCTCGTCCCTGCTCCCTGTGTTGCCTGCCTGCCGCCGCCGAGCTGAGCTGAAATCACTCGACTGCTGCTGAGCTGAGCTGGAATCACTCACCTGCTTGAAGCTGCTCACACGCTTCGGCCCAGCCCTTCTCAGGGTTGTTTCTCTAGAGAAGTCGCGGTGCTCCGGGCTTTCCGTCGCCACGGCAACTGGCGTCCCAAGCGTGGGGCCTTTGAAGAAGCCCCGAAGAAGTGTCCGCCCACAGGTTTAACTGCGAGGCGAGCCGCCGTTTGAGCCGCCGCCCCTCGAAGAAGCTTCCTTGCATTCTAGCAAGAAGCTATCCAAGAGGCTGCGACCGGGACCCTCGTCTGACCATCTGGGGCAAGGAAAAGCCCCTGAGGACCGGCCGCCCAGGTGACCATCTGCCCAGCAGCTTTTTTTCGCCCACCGGCATCTGCCGAAGAGAAATTGTAAGTCTATCCTGTGAAAGGATTTTTCAGGCTTTTTTTCTTTATTTTCTTTTTCTTTGCTGTTTTACTGCTGGGTGGGGAGTGAAAAAGGATGGGGAATCAGACCTCTGTATTGAGGCTGACCCCACCTGAGAGGGACTTTTATATCCAAGTTGTAACTACCTTAAAAGCGGGAAATTTTAAGTTTACTAAAGGGGATTTAAAAAGATTTATTCATTGGGTTTTTAAACATTTTAAGATTAATTCGGATTCTGCTAAATCAGGAATTTTTTGGGATAATGTGGGAAGAAAGTTATATACAGTTCAAGCTAAAGGGGATTTTTCTGTTGCAAAGTTTTTTCCTGTGTTTCAAAATATTATTTTCTCATTGGAAAAAGAGGGAAAAAAAGAAGAGGGAGTTTTGGGTCCCCAGTTAAACTCCCCAACCCCGTCAACCCCTCCAAGTGACCCCAAACCCTTTTCCCTATCTGAGAGCCAGTCGGCGGGTGGACATTGCCCCCAGGCACAGGGCTGCTGCCGTCTCCCTGACGCCCTCCTACCGTCTCTCTACCCGCACCAGGGCGGCACTGGCCATGCTGCTCTGGGTCTTTCCTCTAACCTCTCCCCTATGCCCTCACACCTGGTTGTGTCCCCCTCAGTTCCTAGTGTTAGCACAGATGGCGCCGGCAGTGTGGCCAGCCCCGCCATTTTGTCCCACTCTCACCCTGGTTTTCCCGCCCTCGAAGCCCAAAATGGCCACTTTCCCGCCTTCACCCCTTCTCTTCCTGCCGCGTC